TTTTGCGTTTTTCTTCGTTTTTTCAACCCAAATGACACGGAAACACTTAAAAAGCTGGAAAGACCTCTTATTGTTCTGTGAACAATAAGTCTCCTAGTTTATATTAGTACCCCTGTAACAGATACATTGAAAACTGTCTAAACCGACATCTGAGTAATCCAGCACACTGGGAATTCAGACGTTATTTTTTTTTTCCAATTTGAGTATTATCCTTTTTTTTTTAAACAATGTGAAATCTGACACCCTGTCTTTTCCGACACAAAACTCATCTCCTAGTGCATGTCAAATAAGACAGGTTTCACTGTATAACAAAGTAAATTATTCACGGATATTAATTTCCTACAAAACCTGGGAATTTAAATCACACAACGTGGAGGGAGGTCTAATTAAAAAAAAAAGTACAATGCAAATAAACATACAATCAGAAAAAGACAGAGAGGTTATCTTTAATTTAATGGTGAGACTATGAAACTTTTTAAGACTCAATAATTTTGCTGACATTTCTCTGCACAGTGTGCATATAATGGCCAATAATTAGAATGAAAAAGTATACAGTAGTTGACATAATGTTATGTTCACAGCGACACACTTTCAGCGATTGCGTGAAATAAATTGTCAAAAGATGTTACAGAAGTATGCCTTTATGATGTTTGTGTAATTTCATTAGAGGGTATGAAAAAGTATGTAAAAAAGATTAAGTACCTGTTGACATTTTAGAAAATACATGTACCTTTTGCTCTTTAGTTTTCATATACAAACTTTGGAAGAATGTAAATGAGAAACCATAGATGTAAGTATGTTGTATAGCTACTTTTTAAATAGAATCAATACAAGTTGTAAAAATGTATAAGATCTTTTTTCTTCTTTATGGTATACAACCCTTGGAGTAAATCTGAGTAGAAAGAATAAAAAGAAAATTTAGGCACTTGCAGATTTAATTTTATTTAATCAATTCTACTGAGAACAACAGCAAAAGTTTGGACCGCAGTGAGTAGCAGCACAACTAAAACTTCCGTATCTCCAGGTGTTGACCCATTTGGCATTGGGAGTATTCTTAAGGCCTCGTTTGGAGTAAATATGCAAGGCATCAATGCATTGAGGTTTTCTGTGCAAATGATTAGTGAACATTATCAATTTACATAAACCTGATATAAATGCAACATGATTTAATTATACATTACAATAAAAACTTGCGTATTAAAGATTCCGAAGATTTTTTAAAAGCTGTTGTTATTTATATAGAACCAATGCTTATTCAGGATATTATAAGAATATAACTCAAACACTAAACTTTATTACACGTAATTCAACTGCAATACACATTGATAGCACTACCTACATATGACTGATCTTACAAACTCTCGAACTTCAATTAAAATGATTATTCATTTCAATCGTTTCAACTTTTCTTACTTGTTAAAGGCATCCCAATCCTCATTCATATCAGTGACTGATTGACAGATTGCGTTGCATGACTCTCCACCGACACACTTGCTAGGAATGGCCGCGATGTAAGACCTCTCTGGACCCAAAGCGATACAAGAAGCTGTCGCTATTTCATGATCGTTATCTTGGTCGTAATGATGATGATAATATCCACTAATTAGCAAAATATATGTCTCTAAGACTGAAAATCAATTTTGCTTAATCAATAAAGATCACTTTACAACAAACATTCATGAATTTCATAGTTGTATGCATTTTTAGGCATTTCACGTTGCTTTAATTTTTGCAGAGTTACATGAAAACTTAACAATACCTTACTTCCTTTTGAGATTTATAAGAAAACACTGAATAGTTAGCAGTAAAAGAAAAGCGAGAAAGGGCTTACTCACCCAATGTAACAATCAAATAACTTAAAGACATTGCCATTGCGTATCAATTTATCAGTTCGCCTTGCAAGCAGATGAGCTTACCAAAAATGAAGTTCGTCCCCAACCTATTTTTCTCTTATTTATGCAATGGATATATTGATAAGTATAACCTTTTAAAACTTTATGAATTATGGAAAAGTTTAAATTAAATCGATTTCAACGTCTCCACCCTTTTTACATCTTTGAAATAAGAAAAATATTTTTTAGTATTTATGAATCATCGGTCTATCCCTTTAATTTTATCCATAATTATAATGTCTTTAGCACGCAGAAAGACATGAAATTTGAGAGGAAGAATAGAAAAACTACCTCATGAATTTACACTATTATTTGCAAAAATAATTTAATTAAAAAAAATACTTGGATAATCATGATTATTTTTAGATTGTTGATTTGATATCGAAATAAAAATGTCTGCCATAACGAGCTTCAGCGAAAATGCCGCAACATACCTCAAGATAAGCTTTTTCTCTCGCTTAGTTACAATTGCATCGAGTTTTCCCACTCAAAAATGATTTAAATTATACAAAGCATCTTTCAAGAGGCAAAGAGTACCTTGCTTTAGAAAATGTTTATAGGTAGAACATAATCTAATCAACTGAAATATTGACGATTTAAAAGTTAAAGTCATAAAGTTTATCAAAAGCTCTGCAATCAGATAACAACGAGTTTTTTTTAATTTGAGATCCAAATATGAACCAGATGTTTCTGACTTTGTGGTATGTTTTATTTTAATAGAACTGAGAGATATTGTGTCGACATAAGAATGGAATTAATTATTTTTTTATTGACAATACGACTTCAGTATATCTAGAGTCAAAGGCCATATAATCAAACAAGGTACATTATCAACTAACCCTTTTCATACGGTTGTTGGGCAATTATTTACACAGAGATGTACATATATATTTCCATTTTCCTGATTTTTACAAAGTGCACATAAATGGTGTGACAGGTAGGCAGGTGATGCTCACTCTTTCATGGGACCTGATCCCATTCCTGATGGTTTTGAGGTGCATGTTTGCGTTGATAGTAAAATCAAAGGTTAGATATTTGCTCATTGAATTTATTCTGCGTATATTTGACTATTTTCCGAGCATTCATTATTCCTGTTTAGTTTTTATGTTGAAACATAGGCATATTTCATTAAAAGCAAATATTAACCTCTTTAGAATGGAGAAAAACAAAGAAAACAAAAAAGCATTCTTTCTTCTTAAATATGTTATGCGTCCCTTCATTTCGAAATCATCTCTTTATTTTAAGACTCTATACTAATACAACCTTTTCACACAATCTTCTTTTTTACGCGCATGTTATTATCTACCTTAGTTTAAAATATATTTTATTCATATATAGAAATGGATTGAACAGCAGGCATAAATGCCTATGGTCGTTCTCTCCATATGATCGTTATCTACTTTCAATGCAAAAAAGAGATAACAGCTAAAATTGTATTCTTTTTTTCTTTTTTACGTCATTTAAATTTTCGTATTTTTATTGTTTTTTATGTTCAAATTTCAAAACGTCTTTAATGCTGACGATGTTTATTCCGTAGAGCCAATAGAATTTTTATTATCCTCGTAATGCAGTTTAGAAAGGGAAGCAGCTGAAATGATAAACATTAAGTTTTATGTTTTTCGATCTTTAACACTTTATAGCTTTATTTTTTATTGAAATGAAGTCAATTTACCTTTTTTTCGCATTTTTTTGCATACTTTTTCCTATGAAAACAAATGTCGATATGAACGGTTGCGGGCGAGGCCCATTAGAAGCTTGTTTTGGAAAAAAAAAATGTAAAATTATAACATCATAAAAAGACTTCAAAGTGCTTGGCTTAATCTATCCATAATTTGTTTTGCTCTTCAATGCATCAACTTTTGTCTACATGGGAGCAGTTGCTACGGAAGTCATTAACCGGTGTGTTTTTGAATATTCAATGATACAACAAACATTATAAATGTCCTACAATTACTGTAAAGCACGTATATTGTCACTTGAGATTTTTCAATGTATGCCTTAAAGAAATTGGAAAATGACATAACAAGTGTCAAATATGAATTAAAAAAAAATTCGATAGGCAATATACTAGAAGGAGATGGTTTTGAATAAACATCAATCAATTAGATAAATCAAGAACTGACAGAGATAATAAAAGACAAAAGAAATCTTGTAATTGAAGATCAAATCTATCAGGTATCTCATTTAAAGTCGTGCTGGTAGATCTGCATCAAAAGACATTTGGCCAACCCTTTTCATAGAATCAAAAAGAAAAAATATTTTATAATCCCAACTTGGTCAGAAAAGACTCTTCATTAGATAGTGTAGGATAATTCTGTATGTTTCCGCATGAATAAGATCCTTCACTGCTCAATAACCCTTAGTATCGTGCTTAAGTCAACTATTTCTAATGCTTTGATATTTTTTTAATGTTTATCACATTAATACAGTTTAAAATTGCATTTTGTTTTCATTTACTGGTATTATGAGGAAAATTATTGTTATGTGATATCAAAAGTAAGTATGTCCGATATGAATGAGGTCCCGATCCCTTTATGCAGCTTTAACAATGCAACGTTTAGATACAGGACATACACTTCACTTAATAATTGCCGGTACATGTACGTGTAATAGTCATTTAAATAAACCTTTAATATTTAATCAATTGATATATAACTCCTATAATATATTATTATATTCAGTGATACTGAATGATAACCTAAGGTCGCAGGAATGCAAACAGAAGGTAAACTGAACTTCATTTCAACGATAATAAATGCATATCAAAGATCAAAGATTTACTTACTGAAATATTAAACTTAATTTTTCTTTAAAAAATAAAAAAAAGTAATTGAATGCATCCCTAAATTAAAACAACTGCTTAAAAAGTATTCCGAATATTTAACTATCGTTCAAAAATTTAAATCAAAAGGTTAATTAAGTAAAATAAATAGTTTGATATCCTTTACCACAGGGTCATTGAAAGGGTAAACGTATCTGAATTTTGACCTTCTACATTAGAGTTATCACCTTTATCAAAATGTAATATGCATTTAACACTTTATCAGATTAAGGTAGATGCAAATAAATCGCGTGATCTCAAATCTGGGTCAATTAGAATCAAGATGATTAAACTGTAGATACATATACACCATTAAGAGAGGCTATCATCGATTAACAGGTATTTTTCTCAGAAACTTTATGTTAATGGCTTTGATGTTAATTTAAGTTATTTTAAAATTACCTGTAGGACAATTGTAATATTCTTATTATCTTGAAATTGTCTTGTTTTAACTGAAAAAATTGTGATGAAAGATTAATAATAATTGTTTATATCAGCTGCACCGAAGAGATAAATCTGAAATATTTAAAAATTATAAAAAAAACCTTCACGTGATCAACAAAGTCACATGTTATCATGATAAATATGCTTATAAATAGCTGAAAGAACTCTCTTTAAATATTGGCTGTACCAAAGTGCATAACTTACAAAAAAGTACAAAAAGACCGTGCAATGCAGTATAAAGATTGAACGCATTTAAAGATTTGGAAAGTCTTAACATTGCTGCTTAACACATTTGAGGTGGGATCAGAACCCATGGAGCAAGGATCCCCTAGCTACTGACCAGTCACAACTGCCGTATGCTCCTTGTCGTGATCGGGAAATGATTCAGAATATAATTAAGAATTTTATTAAAAATTGTTCGAAACATGTATTAGTGGAACACGCAATATATATTAGTTTATAATTCTAGAATTTCTTTTCCAGAATCCCCGTCATTTACAAACATTTCAATGATGGATTCCTTATATAGTGCCCAAGATGTTCTCCTTTGTGACCTGTGTAAAATAGCCGCACTTCAGAGCCATTGTGAAGTTTGTAACATTAACCTATGTAAGGATTGTGTTGGTGAGCATCTTTCTGATTCATCCAATAGACACAATGTCGTACCATACACGCAAAACCTATACACAAAGTCGAAAGATTTAGCGAAAGATTTGGAAGAACTAGAAAAAATCATCTATCCTGCCTATGAAAAATGTTCAATAGATTTAAATTCAGAGAGATTAGACGTGGAAAAACATTATGAGAAACTGGCAAGAGATATCATCAAGGAAGGCGAATGTTGGCAGAGAGACATTAACATCATTGTCAACAAACATTTAACAGAGATAGATGGAATGAAGACAAAACATATGGCTGCTTTAATTAAACAGGAAAAAGAAGTTCTCAAAGTTACTTCCGACCTAAAGGTAGCTATCCTTGATCTCAGAAAAATACTAAAATCTTATGATACTTCCATTACCTCTACGTACCATTCCCAGAATGCTGAATTCAGAAGTTTGCCTCCAAAAATCAACGTTTCATTACCTAGCTTTACTTCTCATCAGATCAGCATAGAACACCTATATCAGATGTTTGGATCTCTATCAACATTATCAACTACAATACAAGAGCATGACACAGTTTTAAAGGCATCGAAGACCATGCCCTGTCCTGAACACAAACAACTGCTTGATAAGCCAAAGCTCACAACTACAATAGAGACCAAGTACGAACTATTATACAACATTACATGTCTTGATGATGAAGAAGTATGGACATGTGGCGATGACAAAAGCATGAGACTTTTCGATCTACAGGGTAAACTACTCAAGACAATCAATACCAAATCAGGGAATGTACCATGTGACATAGCAGTGACAAGGAGTGGAGACCTATTGTATACTGACCGTGAAACTAAAACTGTTAACATTGTAAGGAATACGGAGATGCAGGAAATTATCAGACTAAAGGCGTGGATTCCTTATTTTATCTGTTGTACCTTGTCTGGTGACTTCCTAGTAACAATGAAAACTGACAATGGAGACTATTCAAAAGTTGTCCGTTATTCCAGCGCCACAGAAAAACAAACCATACAATTTGATAGTAAAGGTCAACCATTATATTCACCGTTTTACTTGAAACACATAAGTGAGAACAAGAATTTGGATATATGTGTAGCTGACAATGGAGCCAATGTAGTCGTAGTGGTTAATCAGGCAGGAAAACTCCGATTTCGATACACTGGTCATTCCACTTCTGGGCGATCATTCAATCCAGCAGGTATCACGACAGATTGCCTTAGTCAAATCCTCACATTAGACAATAAAACCAGCTGTATTCACATTCTAGATCAGGATGGACAATTTCTCCGTTACATTGATAGTTGTGATCTTCATCACCCTAGGGGGATCTGTGTCAACACCAAAAACTACCTCTTTGTGACGGAATGTCATAGTGGAAAAGTAAAGAGAATAAAATACATGCAGGACATCCAATAGCTATATGTACTAATTGTATTTATGGTCGAATTGTTTCATGTACGAAGTGCAATCTAACTGGATAGTAATGTATATGATCTTTAATTATAATGCATTCTCAGATAGGAATATTTATATCAGTAAATTAAACACTATATGTATTGTAAAAATATCGCTTATAACCAAGTTCTCATTTCGAGAAGATATTTATATATTTACATTACTTTTACTGTTTTTTTCTACAAAACCAACTTTGAGATGGATTTGGATGCCATTTTCGTGTATAATCTCGCTCAGTAAAAACGCGCGCTAAAGTGATGTCACAGTGAGAGTACACACCAATAACTCTAATACAACATAAAAAAAAAGTTTCCTTAATTATTTCTAGTACTAAATCAGATTATAAAAATTATGTTTGTGTAAAAAAAATTAAGGCTAAAAAATACCAACCAACCACCCAAAAAATCATTGACAGAGAGAAGGATGGACAGTAAACGTACACCATGATACTCGATCACATATCTAATGTTTTCAAAGCTTTTTTTCCTGATCGAGGTTCGTATTCTTTTCTTGATTATAACATTTAAGAGTAATTGTTTTATCGACACAGATCTCCAATAATAATACTTCTATTTATAAGGACAAGTATGTTTTATTAGTAAAAACTTTGATATCTTTTTTCGGGGAGTGGGTCAGACATAAAATGATCCATATTCAATAACAACCCCGTATAGCTGGTGTTTCCACCAGTGTAATGATAGGAATATCACAATTTTCTATCACATTTTTAAGGTTATACACAAAGTATTAAACATATGTAATTATAAATTGAATTGTGTATTTTCTATAGTTAAAAAAACAATAATAGTTAAAACTACACTTGATGCATATTTAAAAATTTCAGAGAGTTGTTTCTCCTACGCTATCAAATGAAGACTAGTCATTATAGGATATGTATATATTTTAGTTAAGATTTAAATAAAGTTAAAACTATTTTTTCTTTAAGTGTGATATCTACTTCTCAAGTATTAAATAAACACTGAAATATCAAATTAATTACACAAGATCATTGATTGATTATTGTTTTACGATGATACATAAGACAAGAGGCCCACAGGCCTTATAGGTCACCTGAGTATCATGTAACAACTTTTTGTCAACAATTCAGCTTGGCTCGTGTTTTAAACCAGAGGCCATGAAATTCAAAATTTTGAAAAAGGCACCATTACTTATCATGATTATACACTTCGCAAGCTTACTCAGGACTCCATACTCATTACATTCATGACAACAGCTTGATTGCTTGATGTCAAGGAGTAAAGAAGATTTTTAAATATTTCATTAATTCTACTGGCTTTAGCCGCACCCCTCAAACCCCAAGTGGGATGGTGCGGGGATCATAAAATTTTCACAAATTTTGTTCCCCTTAACAGAAAGATGCTGTATACCAAATGTTGTTAAAATTGGTTCAGTGATTTAAGAGAAGAATCTTCAACTATTCAAATGTTAACACACGACACACGACCAACGATGCACGACGACGGACGAAAACGGATAGGAATAGGTCACTTGAGTGACTCAGGTGACCTTTAACATTTTGCTCATATAGAGATGTAAGTTGAAAGGTATGATTTCTTTTTACATTAACCCAGTACTTGAGGACATTGAGTAGTGAGGCATCTATTTTGAAAAACCTACTGCAACGCTGGACTTCGTTTTTTACGACCTCATTTGAAGTTTCGGCCAAAACACGGCCAGTAGTGGGGTTCAAACCCACGTCATTAGGATCATCTCCTAACTCTGCAATTTTAGATCAAGTGGGTAGGGCATGCATGTTTGAATGTAAGGAGGGTCATTTATCAGCCTCACATTTTAATAAAAGTTCAAAATTAAATGGTGCTTGATACATGTAATCACAAAACATGTTATTATGTCAAGTGAATTACATGTACTAGTGGACAAAACGCCGTTTTTGTTTTCAAAATGTCCTACATGTAACACAGACAGTGCACATGTTTAATATCTTTAAATAACCATTCAGAATTCAAAAAAAATGTTAAGTGTATCATCATATTTTTATATTTTTCAAAGTCAAGTTAAAGGTCATGAAATCAGCAAGCTTTGTAATTTGCCATCGTGTCAAATAATTCAACACCAAATCAATCAATACTCTATATCTCTTACAGATCACAAAGTACAAGATGCAATAGACTGTTAAGAATTTAAGTAGAGACGGACATAAGGAAGGACAGACCCAGGCTAAGTAATCTAAGTAATCTTGTAGCTTCGCTCTGACAATATTAAAATGATTCTTCTTTAATACTTTATCAGAAGACAAATAAATCTTCCCAACATTTCTGTGTATGACTTGAAAACAGGTACAATTTAGTTAGGTTAGTTAGTGCACAATTTTAAAGCAGGTAAATGTTGGTATAGTTTTCCTTTAAACGAAAAATATGAAGGTATACCTTTTTCGAAATCCATTTAAAACATCGCTTTAATGCTACAAAAAGGCCGTGGAATATGGAGATAAAGAATATCATTCAAGGTTAAATTCAATTTAAGCTATACAAATCAGGAGCTGAACACATAGAGACATTCGCAAAACAAGCAAGGATCAGCCACTAAGAAGAAGAAGGCATCCTGTCGACTGTTCCTCACAGCCGCCTTGTGCTCCATGTAATGGTAAAAATACCGAAATATCTGCAGGAATTCCATTGTGTAAATTATTGTACAATAATTTGTATTAAAAAAAAGTCAGTCAGCATTTAATCAAATGATATGTTCACAGCGACACACTCTCAGCGATTGCATGTAATCAATTGTCAATAAATAAAATACGCATTTATGTTGGTTTTTGTAATTTCATCCTAGTGTATGAAAAGTATGTAAAGAGATGAAGTAACTGTCTATAGAGCTTTTGGAAAATACAATTTGCTTGAGCATATCTATCTGCTGCTTCCATAATACATAGTTAGAATAATGTCTTTCTATTAAAGATTTCAAATAACTGTCTCTTTAGCTCTCCATATACAAAATTTAAAAGAAAATAAATAAGAAATCCTATTGTGTGTTTTATAGTTACTCAAAAGCATCATTACAAGTGTAGATATGAGCAAGATCTTTTCTGTCTTTTAATGCTTTATATATATTCCTTGCAGTAGAAAGAAGAAAAAAAATTAAACACGTGCAGATTTGATTTTATTGAATCAATACGCCATTCAAATTTTACCGAGAACAACAGCAAAAGTTTGGACCGCAGTGAGTAGCAGCACAACTGAAACGTCCGTACCTCCAGGTGTTGAGCCATAATGTATTGGGGGTATTGTAAGGGCCACGTTTGGCGTAAATATGCAAGGCATCAACGCATTGAGGTTTTCTGTAAAAAAGATGATTAAACATTTACAATTTACATATACCTAGAAAACAATGCTTATTCAGCAAATGAATCATCACCTCTTTCAAGTGAATCTTGCCACGAAAATTTAAGAAGTCTCAAATATTTTTTGTAATCTCTTTTTCCGCTCGATACTTATTTGAAATGCATCTAGCATTTTATTCCAGAATACAAAATAAAACTACACTTAATTAACTCAAAAGCAAAATACTGATTAAAACTGTTACATGTACATTAAATATATGTTCCTACAAACTGTCAAACTTTAACTGATAAATGTATATTTATTTCGATTATTTGCTACTTTTTCTTACTCATACTCACTTGTTGAAGGCATCACCATATCCCATATTAGTGATTGATTGACAGATTGCATCGCATGACTGTCCACCGCCACATTTGCGAGGAATTGCCGCGCTGTAAGCTCTCTGTGGACTCAAAGCAATACAAGCCGCTGTCGCAATTCCATGATCATAATTAAATCCACTAACGAGCAAAATATTTATTCCCAAAGCTGAAATTCAATTTTATTTTATTAATCTGAGCACATTACATTAAACATTCCTGAATTTTGTCGTTTTTTGTATTTTAAGACACTATACTCTGTTTCTTTTTCAGAGTGTTATAAAAACGCAATGTCTGAATTCCTTTCAGATTTATAACAGAACACTACATAGTAAGCTGTAAAAGAAACAGCTGAATTCTTTTTGTTTGAAAATTGTGTGCGAGAGAGAGAGAGAGAGAGAGAAAGACGATAAACAGTTACTCACCCAGAGTAAAAATCAAACAGCTCAAAGACATTGCCATTGCTTATCAATTTCTCAGTTAGTTTTGCCAGCAGATGATCTTTCCAAAAGAGGAATGTGCCTTTCCAACCTATTGTGATATTATCTATACAATTGAAACATTGATTAGTATTACCTTTCAAAACCGTATGATTCATATAGGAGGAGTTGAAACTAAATTGATAGGAACGTTTCCGCCCTTTTTTGCATGCTTTAAATAATGGGTGGACTTAACTGTCCAGAAAAAAAACGTAAATTAAAGTTTCATAAAAAGTTAATTTTTTCCATCATATGAACCCAGATATCTTATCCGTGTGAGACAGATCCGAATTCAAACGCTCTTTTAGAGGTAAATTAAAAATAATTATCATAATGGAAGGCATGGTGTCGGAAGATTTCTTTCACGTTTTTTTTTTTTTTTTGTCATCGTCTCAATACATAGTCAACGCATGCTTTTCTGCTGTTCTTAAGAAAACAGTAGTTGCATATTGAATAAATAATGCATATTAAAAGAAGAAGAGCCCACCAACGTGTGCACATGCTCACACTTAATTTAACAAAAAACAAATTTTCGAGACAAACTTTGCGTTAACCTTGATTTGTCTTCCATTGACCTGTTGATTATTCTAATGCAACACGTGATATCCACCCGCGAGTGTACATGTGAAAACATTAATTGAAACATTGTGTTCTTCAATCTGACTTCGATCTATATCACATATTTGAATGTGTTTTATTGCCGAAATATACCTATACATTAAACCTTTGTTTTTTGTTGTTGTTTTGTTTTGTTTTTTTCTGACTAAGTTACGATTGCATAGAATTTTCTTAATCAAACGATGTTTTATATCAACAAGTGGAAGAGATTTACGTGTATCTTCTTCTCCCAAAATTTATTTTTTTATCTTTCCTATAAATTAATGTAACCGTATTTTATTAAAACAATAAAACCATATTACTGAGATCCCAAAAGTAATAGCATCTATATTGAAATAAAGACTATACGTTCATTGTTTTTGTTTGTTATACTTACCACAAGTAAATTTTTCTGAAAACAAACACATCTTACATAAAGTAGGATAAGCTGGAAGACCTTGAAGTGAAATAGCTAGTTATTGTATTTAATCTTATTTCATACATGGATAATAGTAAAATTCATAATTTCTCTGTAGTTTGAACATTTTGGATATTTAGGTCTAGAAGTTCTGTGTTTGTCTTGAATAACATTGTGTCTTTTAGATGCATCAGAAAGATGTTTTCCAACACAGACTATAAAGAGGTTTACATGACAAAGTTCACAAAGACTCTGTAATACTGGTTTATGTCCTTCATATTTTAAAAAGAGGAACAATCAAGTTTTTTTTACCTTATTTACGATATCAACAAAGTTTGATGAATTTGTTGTTTTTACAGTGTCTGTAAACCGTTTTAATTCTTCGTTTTTAGTGGTTGATGTTTTCTGTCCGTAATTGGAATTAATAATACCGAGTTTTCTCAACAGACAACAGAAGGCTTACTTATGCATACATGAAAAACGTAACACAACGATCAATTCTGAAATTCTACCGTGTTCATTCTCTTATAGATAAGATATTAACTTATAACAGATATAATTAAATGTTGAAGCAGACATGAAGGAATTTTTCCACATCTCCTATATTTTGGGGGTCAGTTTTGTGATTTAAGAAGTATGGATTCGTTGAGATTTGATTTGATGGATGTGTCTTCACAGTTTACAACATGACGGTGATTGTAAGACTATTCAGTAATGGTATACAAAAACAGTTTAATCAACTATTAGAACCAGATGTTATTTAAAAGAATGTTTAATATTTAAATTGATATTTTATAAATTAAATTAATTTTTGAATATTTAAATTGAAAACAAAGTAGAAACTTTAATTAAATAGCTGTGGAGTTTTATGCAGTAGATAGATTAATGATACAAAAATCTGGGAGGGAATAAATAAAAATATTGATAAGAATATAGTTTCGTGATGTTGAATATCCATTAAATTATAATCAAAACAAAAATAATTTTCATAAATATTTACGAATACTGTTGAATTAAAATATTAGAAAAATAATGTTGAAGTTCAGTTTTAGATAAATACGTAAAAGGACAGTATGGACAATTTATAAAACAATAAAAAGTCTCGAGTAACGGTCCAATATTATCCCTTCAACATGTTCAATGCTTCACAAAAGATGGAAATAAACACATTTTTAAACTGTTAAAGAATAATACAATTCCAATGGAAATATGACTTAACACAAAAGAATGGAAAATAAAACGAAAGGTGTGTGTTAGGGTGAGGGAGGGTCTGCATGTATGTTTGTGTGTTTAACGTCCCTTTTGAGAATTTTTCCCTTATAGGGAGATACCATCATTTGACGGTGGATGTCTACAAATTCATGTATATATTCTCCACTCAGGGTCATACAACAGTGAAAGACATTTTTTGTGCCAAACAACCACTGCGACACGATACCTCTGTTACAATCTCGTCTGAATTAAACACTTTGTAAACATCAAAAGTTGATCCAAGTGCCATATAGGACTATAGCACTCCTGTCTACTGATTAGGCCCACCGTGTGAGAACATTTATTAAACAAAAAAAATGGAGGAATTTTACTTGAATTCTATACTCCACTGCTTATAAATTACTATATATTTATTTTCCTTCTATTTTAAATTACAACAAATTTACGTATATATCTAAAACAAAAAGGAAACCAAGATCCAAAATTACTTCTAGATAGATTCATCTTTATCTTTCCATATTATTTATGATACTTGTGTAATATACGTCTGCAGAAAATATATATATGTCTGACTACAATCAACCACCCTAATAAATACCCCAATCAATAAACAACATTCACTATCAACTCATCACTTGCTTTATTTAAATAGATATAACTGGTAAGGATCAAGTCTTTTGAGTTAGAATTTCACGGTTTACCAAAGTACAAAATAGCAACAAAAAGAAATTTGTTACATCACTGGATATAGATATATATAGTTTGGGAATAAACTCAAAATTTAGTCATTTGCTAAAGAATTAAATAAAACCATTACGAAATGCCTGTCCTTATTCAACATGATATAAAAATGAATCAATAATTACATCAATGAACGAACTCTGTCAAATAGTTGATATGAAATATCCTTATTTAATTTGTTACATTTTCGGATCAGAAGTAATAAGAAAAATTAAAATTTGTCCTAATTACTAGTTCCTCTCATAACTTTTACTTACTTTAGTTCAAAACGCGAGGAAAATCTGTCCAATGGAAATAATCTTACTTGTAAAAGGCGAAGAGAAGAGCTTTTAGTGAGATGTTGATTCTCAAAAACTTAAGAGATCTTTTAGAAACTTAGCTTTAACTTTTCTACTCATTATACAAAATAAAATATAGACTGTTTGATATTACAGGCAATTGATTCTTTAATAAAAACGCTTTTTTTTATTTACTCGAAAGTTTTACAAATACAAAATAAGACGATAAATATTTCTTGAATAAGGCAAAGGAATATGATATGTTTATGCCAAATGGCCGACATCATGATATTTCTTCTCTTTTTCTCCTTTACTCGATTGAATTTTACACCTGCTAAGCTTTAAAGTATAGTCTTTATTTCTATATATGCACATGTAATGATCTATTTTGAATGTAAAATGGAGTAAATACACATAAATTGTATTTGTTTTTCTACATATCTATCATTTATGTTTTATTTCTGTTTTATTACGTATTTTGATGTTTAAACTTCATAAGGTATTTAATGCTGACGATGTTTACTCAGCTGAGTTTCATGCATTTTAAATTTCCTCGTAATGCTGTAAAAATAGGAAAGTAATTAGAATGAAAAAGCATTCAGACAATTTTTCTTCTATTTTTATACATTATATATTTATTTTTAAACTTCATAAGGTATTTAATGCTGACGATGTTTACTCAGCTGAGCTTCATGCATTTTAAATTTCCTCGTAATGCAGTAAAAATAGGAAATTATAAGAATGAAAAAGCATTCAGTTCATTTTTCTTCTATTTTTATACATTATATCTATAATATGTGCATGCACTTTCCTATAATAATAACTGTCGATATGAACGATAGGCCTATTAGAAGCATTCACAAAGTGCATATATGATTACACAAGCAACATATGCACAAATTAAAGACAGAAAAAATGTCAAAACAAGTGTCATATATGAAAAAGTACTTTGTAAGGCAATATACAAAAAAAGATGGTTTAAAATAATTGTCAATCAATAAGATCAGTCCAGAACTGAGTTAATTATAGGTAAAAAAGAAATATTGTAACTAAATTAAATAACAAATCTATCGACCAATTTATAAAAAGACGTCCTGGAGAACCCGCATCAAAAGACTTTTCGCAAACTGTAAAGGCTTAAGTTTTGATATTAAAGAGTATCTGCGAGGATACATTTTGTCATTTTGTACATGCTGCACTTGGCGACAATATGAACCATTCCTTATCGAACATATGGTCGTTCATCGGCGGCGACAAACTATAGTGAGACTTTTCTTTTTCCCCCTACTGCATTATGGACAACAAAATATATAGTCGTGGGAGACAATACAGTGTGTGAACTGAGACGATTTGCACATTTTGTCAACATACTCTGTAGTATTTTGTTAAAGAATATTTACTCAGAGAGGAAGAGAGAGGGGAGGGAGTCCGACAGACAGACAGACAGACAAAAGGAAACATAAAGGATGGAAAACCAAGAAAAACCGTAGTGAAAGCTTAATGATACACTATATATACAGTTTTATTCAGACGCTTGTCAAGTTTTTTTTATAGAATATACAGGAAACAATATTTTAAAAAGCACAACTTGATCAGAATTAATTATACTTTTGTGAAAGATTCATCAGAAAGTGTAGTTCGCTTCTGTTAGTGTTCCGTAAGTGTTCAATGGTCCTTAGTGCCGAGAATTAGTCAAAAGAACGATTACACTTATGGGCCCCGGTAAAATGTGAAAATATATAAAATAAAAAAGCAATTTTTTTTTTCATCTCAAATCAGTAACTGGTATCTAAACCATACGAAT